CTTTTTAGCCCATTTTATCATACATTCTTTCACTTGTTCTTCTTCTGTCTCATATTTCAGCAAAAGTTTATACATTTTAGCAATAACATGTTCATTTGCACATAATTCTATTTCAAACTCAGTCTTGCATTGTTTAAACCATAACATTTTTATCCACTTTAAACCTTTCTGATAATTGTACATAAGAAAACTATTGACAAGTTTATCCTTCTGGTGTCAAATCTTCTCTTGATTTTATTTTAGAATCCCCTTGAGAAAATTTTAGTACGTCATGATAAGTTAACCATTTATGTTTACCTATCTTTTCTCATGTATAGAATGCTTCTTGTGCTGAGAGCCACAAAAGTGTTTTTGGGCGCAACCTAGATTTATATTTATTCCATACTTTAAGAATGGCCTGCCTTCAAGATGTTCTTTTTCTGAACAAGGCAAAGAACACAATCTCCCACTCCTCATACACATACTTGTAATTTTTTCCAGTAATATTTTCCCTCATTCATTTGGGCATTTTCTTGTCATTTAAAATGAGGTGGTTTTTCTTTTTTTTAATTCCCCAGTTGTGATATGTTGGCAGGCATATTAAAATACTTAGGAAGTACACTATGTCTTCAAACTATTGACTGTCAACAATCTGGATGTTTGCTGGAATCTCACTTGCTTGCAGAGTTTTGACGTTATGATAAATGTCCCAACCTGCTATAGTCTTTCTGTGAATAAATCTAACAACGTTTGTTTAGAAGGAGACTTTAGTCATCCCCACTCCATTTTTTTTGCTCTATGATGAGAAAATTAAATAACATTATAAAAGTAATTTTGTTTTCCCCCTTACCCTACTGCAAATAGTTCTTTGTAGGATTTCTCTGCCTTCTTTAATGTTATTTAACTAGCAGGTATGGCCTGACAAGTATCCTCAGGCAAATTATACACATGTATTAATTATGATTATAAAATTGTACTGTATGTACTATGTACATAGAAAAGAACATTTTAAAGAATGTACTGGATGATTAATTTTGAGAATTGTATTGCCAATTTACCCTTAGGCTATAGATTTTACACAGAATAGAATAAATTCTGCAGGTTAATCTCCATGTCAGTTGATGGAGATCCAGTTATATATTGTAATGTATGAAAGCAGTATTTAATATTATACCAAATGAAAGATGGCTATGGAAGTGTTCATTTCCCCCCAGCAGTCACTCATGTACCACTGTGACCTCCTGATCTAATGGTTCTAGAGCCCAGAAACCTTTAGACAAGATTTGTAGGCATTTAGGTATGTAGAATTCATGCTTTGAACAAAATAGCATGCTATTCTAGTGATATAAGTAGAATCTATGTCCACATGTGCTGATGGAGTCCAGGATAGAATTATGAGAACTGAGACTCAACTATAATGTAGAATTCCTAGACTGTAGTTCAGACTAAAACTTTAATTCTGTATTGGGACTTCACACAGTCTTCACATGCTACCAAAGAATTTGATGTCTGAGTACAAGTCTTCCTTGAATCTTTCCCCAGACCTATATTCGGTTGACATTACCACAGTTTCACCTGTGGAGCACCACTACTCCTTTTCTGTTAATACTTGTCTTGTAAGCCTTACTGGCTCTTCAGTTTACAATCTACATCGCATTCAGACTTCAACAAACGTTAGAAAATTATTTACCCATAGACTGCAATTCCCAGTTTGACACTCCAATTTCTATATCCCCATTTAGCAGTGTTCTGGAATAATGGATATTATAATCCCACAACATATGGAGAGGTTGGGAAGCCTTGCCCCATGAAATACTTTGCAGTGCCATTTAACTTGGCTTTTCTCTTTTTTTCATATTCAGAAGGAAATAGTTTTCTCCTGATGAACAGGCCAGCCCAATAGCCTTAAAACGCATCAGAAGTATATTTCTGTCCTCCTGTCTTTTGGCTTTTTCTTCGGTATATTGGAAGATCAGCATGAATGAAAAGGTTTTCAGTTCCCAGTTTTGATTTTCTATAAAAATTATTCCATAGTTCTATCTTGCCATCTTTCTTCTTTTTTAACATGTTGCTCTGGTTCTTTTATATTTCCACTATTGGTCCATGAAATGGGATTCCATCCATTCCCGATCGGTGGGCAAAATCGACCAGGTGTTTCAGCTCTGTAATCTTCAGTTAGTAGAGATTTGCCTCTGATTCCCATGCAAGCCTTTCTAAAATGATCAAAATTTTCACAGCTACAGCACTGATGATTTGCCCTTTTGCCTTTGTTTTTTTGCTCTGTTGTGCTTAGTTTATACAACAAGGGTGATAGATGACTGTCACCAAAATAGCACAGTGTAGCAACTTCTTCCTATGCTTGGAAGAGTCTCTCTGATGAATTTTTAACATTTTCCCCCAAATGTGTTTTCATCATCTGGTTCGTCAACTGTCTGAACTTCCCCCATGCCCTTTCGCTGTCTCATATCCCCACTCCTTTCTTTCTCCCAGGTCATTATTAATATAGTTTTCCAGCTCCTTTTCAATTGTGGTGCTTTAAACAGAGCACCTAGGCTTCGAGAGAAATGGGCAAGTGACATAGGTTGACAGGATACAGCAAAGCAGGTCACAACATAGTAGCTTGGAAATTGGGCTGTAGGCGGTAGAAAATTGAGTACTGACTTGCAGAGTCAAGGCATTTACACTGAATGCACAAAAATTGAACAAGTCACAGTTGGGTTGCTGAGATGTCAAAAGATGATCTACCCTATGAAATATATTTGGTGGAAAGACAGGGAAAGGAGAAGAACAATATCACTGATGTTTTATCTGGAGTAGTTTGTGACCCGTATCTCCCGTTCTGACTTGTTCATTAATTACCCTAACTAAGTAATTGAAATAAATGGAGTCTTTACAAAATAAATCATACGAATGTTCATTGATCTGTATGAGTGCATCCATATGTTCAAATAAATATTGGGTTGGGAACACAGGCTGCTGCTATGGCAAGAAGCAGCAGGAAGAGTTCTTTGCAGTTGCCTTCTTTGTGTCCCATAACACTAGGATGGAGAAATTATATTTGACCCAGAGTAAAGAACATCCTGGTGAGACTACCCTTCCCCAAATCTGGTACCCGCCAAACAGGAGTCTGGAATTTAGATAGATGTCCAATTTGAACAGTTCTGAAGAGCACCAGAATGGCTGCAGCTGACTTTTCAGATGTCTTTGTTCCCCCCCCCCCAAAAATGAAATAACTCTGTTAGAGTTCCAGTCTGTACATTGGTTTGAATAGAAGTTAATAATAGAAGTTTCTTGTCCTTAGCTTATATTCAAATGAGCAAATCTCATTTCTGTATACCATGAAAAGTTCTTACACTTTAATCTAATAATCATGTGTGGGTGTGTGGGTGTATGCAGTACTCAAGGCTATGGGTATTCCTGTGCAGGGTACCACAGAGTTCAGTGCTTTTTCTGTATGCACCAAAGAAAAAGAGACCTAAGCTCTGAAATGGATAATGGAAACTCTAAGGGTTTGTTTGTGGAGTTGAGAGCTCACTATGGTCACAGACCATCAGTCATTAATATGATTGGAAAAGATAATGGATACTAACAGAAGACTTACACATTGGTATCCTATTCTATGGTTCAAGTACCAAGTTGCTGATACAAGGTTCTACCATCCAAAAAGAAAATCTGCCCCAGCCTGAAAGGGAAATGTTGGACGATGTTTATCCCTCTTCTTATCTCTACATAGAAAATAGGCAGGGTATTTAGAAATAGTGCAATCTACATTTATGTTAAGCCAACATTATAGAATGCATAAATGCACAGGCAGAAAACACTTAGACTGTATAATATTCAATAAGAAAAAGTCAATTTCACAATGTACTTTAAAACTCCAACTGCAGTAGTTATCTAGCTGTAAATAACTTTTGCTAAGAAAGGCTGCAGAAAACAAAAGTAAATGTTGCTTGTGCTGTATCTGATATCAAGTCTTGTGAACCCACAGAAGCCTCTGTGGCCAGTAGGCTTCTGGGTCCGGTTCAGAATTCTGAATAGAGCCCTATATGGTGTTGCACTGGGTTACATCAGGCTAAGGTTGCTACGGTTGAATCTGACTGTCAGGTAAGAATACTGAGTCCTTACTCTATGTGAGGCGCAGACCAGATACCAGCCTTTTGTACTTGCTAGCAGAGGTTCCAGCAGCTACTTGCTCTCTTTAGAGCAAGAATATACCACCATGTTTTTAATTGGAATTGAATGTTTGTGGCCATTATCTGGCCGATTTCTATTAATTGTATGTCTTTTTGTTTTTATTCTACATTTTTTCTCTCTTTAATGCTGCCCAAAATCTATAATCACTTGTTAAAAGTAAGGCTGAATGGGAACTCTTTTCGACCATGTGTTCATTATTATGCATACAAAAGCTGATGGTGATAGGCAAACATGTACAAAAAGGTTCTTCATAAAATTCCATTTTTGTCTCGTAAGTGTTTCTTTGCTTCTCCACTCTTTTATGTTCTTATGTTTAATTTTGTTCTTTACAGGAGAAAAGGCTTAAAGAAAAGGCAGCTAGAAGGGAAACCAGGAAGATAAATACAAAGGTAAGAAGGAGGAAGGGGAGATGATGATGATAAAGATGGTGATAGTGATGATGATGATGAAGAAGACGACAACTATTTGTGGCTCTGAAAATGTAACCTACAATCCAGTTTTAATGCCTCTTTTCTTAAGCTGTCTTAGAAACCAAATAGTTTCCAATTTTTCACTGTTCCTTTTCACATCTCATACCTTGCTATGCTGCAGAATGTTGGATGAAAGAAACAGTTTTGGGTCTCTTAAACACAGGTTGCATCTATCCTGGGAGACATACCATTATAGGATATTCAGAGAAGATTTCACATTACTGTAGTCTTTTGCATCATTGAAAAGGGAGGAGGCAGAGAATGATTAGAAAAGGGATTGAAAATAAAACATACAGCTGCAGTTTGCTAGTAGAGATGTAATGCTTTCCGAGTCTTAACCATGGTTAGTGTGAGGGATCAGGTATGGGTCATGTCACCCCCTTTTTTTTTGCCAGACAACTTTTTCCTTTTGAAGGATATATTCTCTGGAGTCTAAGCCATTGGGGCAAAAGCTCCCAGGCTTTAAAGCGGGTGAAATACATAGGGAATTTCAAGAGCATGTTATAAGTGCCTTTGTAACATGGCTGCTCAGAGCTTGTTGTTTACTAAAAGGCTGCCATGGAAACTAAGCCATTGTTGTTATTATCCATGGTTTGCTGAATAAGCCACTGTAGCCTAATTCATACATCATATACTAAGATCTTAATAGCCAGGCTCATATATCCCACTAATATAAAAGTAAACAAAGTTCATTAAGTCTTAGCATCATGGATGAGAAAACAAGTTTAATGACAGTTCACCTTTGAACTGCTTTGCGTGTACACATCTTAAGGGTATTTGGAGCATAGCGATGTGTAATGGAAAAAAACGGTGTGTGTGCAATTTTTAATCATCTTTTGCCTGTTAGTATTGTTCTTTACTACTCTCTTATATTTTCTTTACAGTTTTCATCCTTGCATATTAATTGTCCTGTCTTCCTCCAAATTTTTTTCCATGTCTCCTGGTTTCATCATTTGCATGTATAATTTGAATATTACAATGACTTTTCATGCAGTATGCAGTAAAATTGTACAGATGCAGAATTGTGGATGAACTTTCTTTTAAATGAAATGCTTATATGCCAAGGATCATTCCAGAAACAAGGATTCCGATATGAATGCAAATCGCATGTTAAGCTATCATTTTTATCTGGTATATGTATTGCATCAAAAACGTTCAGCTTATTGAAGAGATACTGACTGGAAGTGAATTTCCAGGATGGAGTTCTGATTGTGTGCATTACCTATCTTATTATGTTGCATCGAAATAACCATGATTTGTACTTGGTACTTAGCAAAGATTGGTCTCCTTTGATGCCATTGTACTCATTCTTTCTCTGTGTTCTCTGTGCCTTCAGTGGAACTCAGAGAGCTGATCTTGGAAAATGACATTCATTGTAGGCCAAAAGGAGGGAAGTAATTATTCTAAACTATCAAAGAAAAGACTGATTGTACTCAGCAGTAAGATATTAAAAGATGAACTTCAGAAAAAAGCATGTTACAGAATAACATTCAAATAGTGGTTGGTAAGGCTGAAACAGTGGACAGTAGTGGTAATAACCAGTCTTAAAATTGTACGTTACTCAACCTAGGGTTTGAATCAGGAAGTAAAACCTGAAATATGATAGGCACTCACTGAGTGTGTTGAGACCTTTTGAGATAGGCTGAAACCTTTTGATATACGTGACTTTCTGCTAAAAAAAATGGTGCAAAAGAATGAATGGGCACAGGTTTAACATCAGGACTCCAACAAGGACAGAGTAATATCAGAGCATTTCAATCTCTGCAGACCTCAAAGTGAACATCTTGGAAAACAAGACTTCAACAGCATCACTGAGCAAGACATTGCTGAACTCACATACATCAAAAGATTTCAAACTATCTCAACAAACACAATATTTAATATGTTACAATCGTTAATTGATAAGGTACTGGCAATCTGTCTCATGTGTAACCTGCATCTGTGTAACCACCCTGTCTTTTCTTCCCCCCGTCTCATCCCAGTTTAAATCCTACATCTGTCTAGCTACTCTGTTCATCTGATGAAGTGAGCTTCAACTCATGAAAGCTTATACTTTTTAATAAAATGGGTTAATCAGAAAAAGGTGCTTCCAAATACCTGGATTTTTAGTTCTGATTTTACTGAGCTTGGGAAACAAGGACATCCACAAGGGTGGTCCAGTTCGAGCTGGTGGTGATAACTGGGCAATCAAAGCCCCACCTCCTTTTTACATGCATAGCACAAGTTAAAAAGGGGCATGGCATTGACTATGTGATTGCAGCCCCATCTTGACTTTTTTTGACTCTACGCCCCTACAGATGCCCATTATGAAATACTTCCCTTTCTAAAAGAATTTAAAATATTTTTTAGCAACTGGCACTTTAACAAAATAGCCAACCCCTGATATAAAAAGTAAAGTTTTTGTTTACATTTAAGAAACCCTTGCTTAAATTTAAACAGAGGTTTAAGAAACACGAAAAATGTCCTTGCTCATTGGAGCTGGCAAAAAAGCCTTCTGCCTGGTTGCTCCTGAAAAATATGGTCAAATTATTTTGGCACTGCTGAAATATTAAATTACCAGAGAACTGCCATTTCTTGTAATAACTTTTCTTTGCATGTTTTCATAAATTCCACGATTTAATCAGTTTTCTTGCAATTTTAATTTCCTAGCAATTGAGGGTCTATTAAAATAGGTACCACCTTCCAATACAATACAATACAATACAATACAATACAAATACTTTAAT